GTATGCAGTCAACTCTCTTTGCCTTCTCTTTTAAAACATCTCAACTGCAGATATTAATAAACACTAAGCCCTAGCCTTTCTTTTATTGCCGTCTTTCTTACCTGAGATAGTTAAGCTGAAAAAAATCATTCTTCACCCTCAATAAACATTAAACAATAATTTTGAGTGAAATGCAACTGGAATATATGAAATCAAAGTTTTATTTATTCAAATAATCATTAACAAAAATGTGCTTGGTATATATTCCCATCGAAAATATTTCATTTGACACATTACAAAAAAAATTAAATAACAGTTATGTAAGTTACATAGTTAAAGTCAACATTTTGGGCAAATTTGATATTTAGGGGTATAACCAAACAAATTTTGATATTTAAAGGTTTTAAAGGTTTCTAATAATTTGAGATACTGGATATCTGATTTCTTTCTGTCTGCCTCTGCAGGAGGATGCCGATGTGGAGTGGAAGTTTGCTCGAGCTAAGCTTTGGCTCTCCTACTTTGATGAGGGCCGCACCTTACCCGCCCCCTTTAATCTCGTTCCCAGCCCTAAGTCCTTCTACTACTTGGCCCTAAGGATCAAGTCCTGTCTGATTCACCTCTGCAAGGCCAACGGCCATCACCATAATGAGGTGGAGATGGGCATGCTCAACTCCCAGGCCAAGGTCAGTGTTTTTACTATATTTGATTATTTTACACATGTTTGGCAAACTGCTTATGATATTGTGATTCATGGTTACTTAATGATTTTCCAAATCTAGCTGCCAAAGCCATTTAATAATAGACTATTTCTTTTAAACTGATTGTTAGTGATACATTTTGTAAGCACCTTGTTTCAGCTTTTTTAACAACTGTAGTCAAGTTTGGTTTCTAGCACTAAATTTAATATTTACTGCTACAAATGCAGTGCTTTTTTTATCCATTTTTCTGCTGACAGGATCCTTTCTGGCTAAAGCGCAATTGTTATTTTCCTACATGGAAGTAGTTAAACTGCTAAAAATCAATGAAGGGGCAATAAACGCTGATTACACCCACCACAATCCTCAGTGGAGTTGCCCATATGGGTCAGTTATTTGTATAATGATCATCAAATACTGAATCTTTAGCAAGTGTAATTGGAGAATGCACACAGGCAAACCAGGAACCCCAGAGGAAATGTAGGATATTCCCACTGCAAGTCTAGAAATTACATCTAGTTCCGTTTCACACTTTGTTCCTCTTATGATTTGTGCTTCTAAATAAAAATCACTTCAATGACAAAAATGCCTCGTGTGACAAAAATATTATAGACCATTTAATGCGCAATCAGTCTTAGTGCTGGTGTTTTCTGCAGGCATTTCTGCTGCCTGATCCCTAAACTCAAATGGCTCACCTCAGCACCTCAGCTAGGCTATTAGGCAGGCCATTAGCTTTACCCGCGTCTGCTCAAATGCTCAGGCAGGACAAGATGGGTTACACCCCGGTGCTTCTGTGAGCGCCTAAAGTTTTCTGACAGTTTCACAGCCGAGCCGAGGAAGTACAGCAAGCGATCGATACACGAGCTTGCACCAGTCTACAGTACTGTGTAAAATGTCAGCTGAGATTAGGAAAAGGCAGCCTGCTCTTTCTGTGTCTGTATCTTCGTAGTGGATGGTTTATGTTTTGGTGCTGTTTAAGAAACGTGAAGCTAATCACTTTAGATTCAAAAAGCATATGCTCATAAATTGTGTGTACTTGTGTTCATTCGGTAAGTGTTTGTTTTGTGGTGGTGTTCATGTTCGTTCTTGTGCTCTTTGGTTAACTGCCTTTCACAGCAGTAGGGATAATTAATTTCAATATGAGGTAGCTAGAGGCAGCAAAAACCCACAAAGCAGGTTACTGCATGGGGACTAGATCACAGAAAACACACCAAAGAGATTTCAGCTCTGTCAGTTGGCCTTTGTAAAACCTCTGCATAAGATATGTGTTTCTCACACTCACTGAGTCTGAAACAATAGTAGATGTCTGGGTGTATGGTACAATAAAGAAATGATAAAAAATACATTAAAAAGATATTTATTTGCCTCACAATAGCGCGCAAAAATGCTATATGTGCTGTTCCTCCAGTTCACAAGATGAACTTCCCTGCAAAAGAAAAAAAACATAAAGTCACTGAGAGCTCAAACTGACAACTGAAGTACCAAGCTTTTCATCTTGATAAATGCTCTCTCATAACGAACATTAGCTAAGGGGTTCTTCTGGTCTGATTTTAAAGGGAACCCATTTTTATTAAGTTACAGTAGTTATTTGCTTGGTCTTATTTTTATTCAGACAATTTGGGTTGTCTTTTTACAGTTAAACATTTCATCTGTTCTTGGAGAAAAAAGATTATTGGAATCCACTCGGATGCTTCATAACTTAAAGCCTTGTCGGAAGTTCTAGGATAGGATAGGATAGGTTCTAGGATTATTATTCATCTGTTTATTGCTAAAATTAGTCTCCTTTTGAGCATTTGGTCTTTTTGATGTTTCCTGCTTTTACTGTAGACCAGCTTGTTGCATGTGTTCGCACTTCAGTTTATACCCTTTATTTTTTTTACACTGCAGTGTTAAAGTGACACACATGCTATAAAGCAAGGTCGTAGACATGAAAGGCACTTAGGAGTGAGTTAATAAAGATTCTTTCTGGCAAGGGTATGCAGTCAACTCTCTTTGCCTTCTCTTTTAAAACATCTCAACTGCAGATATTAATAAACACTAAGCCCTAGCCTTTCTTTTATTGCCGTCTTGCCACTATGATGCCTCCGTTAACACCCTTTTCAAATGCTTCTGTCTGACATGATCCATAGAACCTGAAATATGACATTAACACTCGACTTCTTCTATCTGTTTCTTGCTCTTGTAGGATGAACGCTTCAAGTCTTATCCACGGCCTGGAGAAGAGTTCACCCAGAGAAAAGCTAGAAAACACCCCACCAGATACCAGGTAAGATGGAGACCGAACTGGATACAGAGAGCACAGGATGTGTGGAGTGATAAGGAGACAAGACTTAAAAATTTGATGGAGGCAAGAAAGGAATCAAATGGGAGACAAACAGACAGCATAAGGAATATGTAAGAGAATAGTATTAGATGGGTGTAGAACTATAGCGAAAGCGAGGTTTGCTGCAGGGTGATGACAGTGAAGGAGAAAGGAGAGGGAAGCAATGAGGAAATTCTGACACAGAAGAAAGAAGAAAGAAGGTGTGAGGAAGACACAGAGATAAGGTAGAGATGGTGGAGAGGAAGAAATCTCTCAAGTTTCAATGGAAGGGCACTGACTGAAAGGAAGAGGTAAAAAGAGAAGAGAGAGCAACAGGGTAAGGCTGAAAATTCCTCTAATGAGCTGTTTGAAAGAGATCGAAGGTAGGCACTCAGTAAATGAGCTCAAAGTATAACACTGAGAAGGGGAAAGATGCTTTCCACCTTAGTCTGTTCTTCACCTCTCCCCTAAGGGAAATCTAGCTTCCTTGATAGGCTGACTCCACTTTTGTCTTAAGCCTCCTATTTTGTGTGTTTTTTACTAGACTACACTACACACACCCACACACAAAAGTGAGATGTCAATTGGTGTGGTGTGCATGTATGCTACATGTGGGGTGACCAGTACTGACCCATGTTCACAGTCCCTACATGCAGAAATTGACAACTTGAAGCTTGGAAACAGTTGCAGCAGATCCCTGTTGGCCACAGATTTATTCTCAGTGTCTCACTTACTATCTCAAAGGCACAGTACTCACTCACTGTCCTCACAGCTTTGTGCTTATGTTTACACACAAGCGTGGATGAGTTTTGAAATATGCAATCAGAGAAGTTTACTGGGTAAATATAGCATCCGTCGTCACATCCCCTTGACACGTCCTCCTTGTCTAATCTTCTTTTTCTTCTCTTTCTCATAGAAGATCATGAAGCGCCTGATTAAGCGTTATGTGCTTAAGGCTCAAGTGGACAGAGAGAGTGATGAAGTTAATGAAGGTAAAAATTCCCTCTTCATTAAAGCCCACTTTCATTGTGTCATTATGTGCTTAAGGAACACTGGGTTCGGAAAGTTTTCAGACGCTTTCAACTTTTCTGCATATTGGTATGTATAAAAATGTCTTAATAGATTCAGTTCATTTAAAAAATATAAATGGAGTTGTAACACTTTAAAAAGACAGAGTAAAAATGCTTGTGTGTGTGTGTGTGTGTGTGTGTGTATAAATTAAAAAATAAAAGGTTAAAATATGCTTTTAACATAAGTATTCGGAGTGTGGAGAGGTTTGCACAAGGTTGGCATACCATTATTTTGGAAAATTTCCAACAAGGTTGGATGGGGGAGCCACTTTCAGGTGTCTCTGTACTCCTAAGTCTTTGTTGAAGTAAAGCATCCCCACAGTATGATGCTCCCCCATCATGTTTGGCTGTAGGGATGGTATTAATGAGGGAACACTCAGTGCCTGGTTTCCTATACACACTCCACTGGGAATTTCAGCCAGTAGTTTAATCATCCTGTCATTAGACCAGAGGAGTTTGCTTTGCATGGTCAGAAATACATCTAGGTGCCTTTTGGCAAACTCCCCGCAGGCTGCTATGTGCCTTTTAGTGAGGAATGGCTTCTGTTTGGCCAATCTACAACAAAAGCCTAATTGGTGGCTGCTGCATTGAATTTGTCTTGTAAAGTTATCCCATCTTTGCAAAGGAGCTCTGGAACTCATTAATAGCGATCACCTGATTTCTGGTTACGTGTTGCATCGGGGCCCTTTCATCTCTCATTACTCTGTTTGGCTAAGTGGGCAGATCTAAAGAGACTGTTCATACGTTTTCAACTTTTCTCCATTAGAGAACAATGAACACTTTGAATGCTGCAGAAAATTTCTTGGATCCTCCCCCAATTGTTACTTTAGACAGGCTTTTGTGATGATTGTGCAGACAGTTCTGTGAACATAGTGGGTTGGCTTTCACTTTGACACACCATTAACTGTGAGACCTTATGTACTAATTATTTCAGGTGAATTAGGCGCAACTGTCTTCGTTTTAGTTGTAGCAACGTTTGAAGCCTAAAAAAAAATTCAAAATTTAATATTCACCTCTTAGTTTTATTAAATTGAAAAATGGCTTTGTCACCGTGGAGTATTGTGTGTTTACTGAAGAAAGAAAAACGAGCCTAATAACTTTTTAGATGAAACTGAAGCTTTGAAAAGGTTTTTAAATTTTCTAAATGGACTGGGAGGGACAAGAGTTATGCGTTACTGCGTTTGAGACTGCACTGTGTGTACTTCAGTGTAAAATGATGTCATTGCTCACATGGATCAACAGTTTTTGTGTGATCCTGTAGGTTACTGCCTACCTGCATGCATGTCTTTGATCATTCGTACTAATGTGCCCTAATTCCTGTGCCATACCTCAGCTCTTCTTTTGTACCTGTGTCCGTGTGTGACTGTGTTGTAGGCGAGCTGAAGGAGATCAAGCAAGACATTTCCAGCCTCCGCTATGAACTCCTGGAGGAGAAGTCCCAGGCCGCAGGCGAGCTGGCTCTGCTTATCCAGCAACTTGGCGACAAGTTTGGCAAGAACACCATGAGACACTGACAGGACTTGCAAGAAGAGATGGGGAGAATGTGAGAAAGGGTGAAATCAGGAAGAGGTTGGGGGTGGGGGGGGTTGGGAGCAGAAAGCTGGGTCAGCACAGGTATTTTTAAGGCCTTGATAGTACAAGAGGGAGAGAAAAGAGACAGGGGAAGTAGGATGTTTATGAGATAGACAGGATGAATGGAGGACAGTGGAAGAAAAACATGACATAAAGAAACTGGGCAGAGTGAAACAGCTGATTTAGTTATGCAAGGACACAATTAGGGAGGAATGTGAAAAGCAGATTGTGAACACAAGAGGGTCAGAGGTGAAGTAAAGCGAGTCAGAGGGGTTTTGTGCTGACAGTTCAATTCTAATTAAAGGCAAAGTCTTTCACGAGGCGCGAGAAAGGAGAGGAAGAAAGAGCCTCGCAGGTTGGGTGGGAGGCAGAGGGAGACGAATGAGGAGGAAAACACAACTTCCATGAGATATGACGAGGCACCACGGGGCATAAGACTGAGGCAGTAAAAGCCCCCACACCCACTGCCAAGATATATCAATGTATCACCAACTCGGAGAGGGAAACCCAGAAACGGGATGACACAGAGAGAGGGCTGGAGGGGGAGAGGAACAAGTGAGAAAAATATCTTTTAAAAAAAAAAACCTGCCACTGTTATTTACACCGGAGAGGCTGGCATTGCTTCTGAGTCCTCACTTTGTTGGGGCAAGCATAGATGCCTGTGAGAATACTGCACACACCTTTATACAGCAGGCTGTCTAATTAATGCATATCCATTCATAGTGCACAACCTATGATCAGGACTCTATGGATTCAGGAAAAATGCACCTATTTAAAAGTCATTAAATAAACCACTGAAATATTAAACATTATCTTATTATCTTAATGTCATTTAGAATTCTGTCCTCATAGCATAGACAGTGTTAGGTCCTGCAGATCCAGAAGATCCATGCTAGAACAAAATGACTGTAATTTAAGAAAAAAAATCCACTCAGACAGTTTCTTCTTTACCTCATTCATGCTGCCAGAAAAGAAAATGACAGTTAGGATAAACAGAAACTAATCTGAGGCTTTCACAATACCTCTCTTCCATTCTTTAAAATCGAGAGGGCCATTCTTGTTTCAACAACTTTAAACCAGCGTGTTGAAGTATGGCCGAGATAATTGCTTTAGATATTCCCCTCTCCACTGTGTGTTTGGAGCACTAAGTGTCTCGAGTTTTCTAAAATGGTAACAAAAAAATGACAGGTCCGCGATGTTTACAACTCTAAATCCAGAAGGTCAGCACTGAGGTTAAGCCCATGAAGGTAGCAAAACTGAGTCTGCTCCAGGGCAGCCAGACATTTGTGAGGAGAGAAAATCTCCGAGATGCAGAGATATATTTATGTATGCAGTGATCTGGCAGTAAAACTGGAATTCAGCTGCAGAAGCTGTGCAGAGTTATTTTATGGTCTTTATTTTATTTTGGAGACATATTTGACATACAGCAGCATAAACTAAAGTGTTGTGTTAGACATTGGTTATAGCTGAACAATAGTTTAAACAAACAAAATAAAAAAAGTACAAAACAGTTTGAGAAGTTATTAAATCTGGACATTATTGCAGTATATTATATAAATGGGGTGCTAAAATCAATGATGACCTGTGGGATCAGATACATCATCGTTCCCGTTTGTGACTGAGGCCCAGATTTTGATTTAAAGCAAATATGAACATACTAGGCATCCCAAAGCTGAAAGACACACCAGTAGCTCTAGTTAAGAAGCTCCTGTCCTTAAATTCAAGGTTCTTTCTTGAATCCTTGAAAATTATACTTCATTCAAAACATCAACATCCAGTGCTGGCAGTCACACCAATCTGCACATTTTTCCACGTTTAAGTTTAGAGACGCCATGTCATAATCAGTTAGACTGGTTCCTCCAAAGCTTTTTTTATGAATTCAGAAAATTAGAATATACCGTTCACTTTCATCAATCCTTCTTGAAATTAATCAGATAAAATTTAAATATATTTAAGCTAACGCAGAACTATATTACCATTCTTTTATTGTGTGGCTGGTTACAGTAGTTATTTGCCCTCAGATGGAAGAGTCAAGATGGGCCTATTGCAGCCATCAGCAACAGTGTCATTAGGAATTTTTTTCATGGTTCTAGTAATTGTCCTAGCTAGTATGCACTATTTCTCCTGCAAGTAGACATTGCAGGAGTTAGAGGGCTTTTTTAAGGATATTTTCTAATCTCCTGCTACAGAGTAAGTGTTTTTCCTGCTTAAGAACTATAATTGGTTCAGCAGTGTTTATTCACTAGTTCAACACATGAACGCAGCAACTGGCATTAAGAAAAAGAAAGTAAACACTGGTAAATATTAGCCTAGAAAATGTCTCTAGCCTCTATACGAGAGAGGGAATACAGCATGTTTTTAAATTGTCAAAGAAAATCTTTTGTTAGCAGGTCCTCTTAAATTTCTACTTTGCATCCACCACAGAACAAAAGCCACGTAGACAGAAAAGAGGCTGAAACAGGATTGCAGGAAAATAAAAGACCGCAGCAAGAGCTGATGATAAATTACCGACTTGCTGTTGCATCACTTTAGACTTCCTAATAGTGGTCCAAGTTAAACAAATGCTTGAACAAACAACTTTGAAAGTGGGTGTTTGCCAGGCGGAGCCCAGGTAGTTCCCAAAACCATCAAGTCATCTTTGACAGTATATATGTATAATTAAAATGTACAGTAGTGTATGTATATATACATACACTACTGTATAATTTCATTCTTACAGATAGGACTTCATTCTTATAGATAGGGCTTAAACTCGCTAGTAGGAAAATACGACCAAGTATATTTCTAATTCAAATAGATAGTAAGTATTTAATCAGAAGGCTTTAAACATAATTAAAATGCTGTTTTTACGGATATGATTTTTTAATTTGTTTCAGATACATAAAGGCTTTTCAGACAGATTTTCATTTCAATTAAATGGACTCGACCTTATTTCTTTATTTATTTGTATTAGGTGTTAAAGCTGTTAATTAGTTTCCTTTTTGTAGAACCATGCAAATGATGAAAAGACCCACCACCAGGAAGAGAACATTTCCTCAAATACTGTATTTTTAACTTCTACACAAGAATTAATAATTAAATCAAAATCTTGTATGGTATATTGTCATATTTTTGATCCTTAAATTAAACAGAGTAAGCTCTATATTGACTGTTGTTGTTGTTGTTGTTGTTTTTTATTTATTTACCTTGTATGTTTCTGCTTCTGGAATTTAATTATTCAGCATTTGTCTTTACCTTTACCCACTAGTGGATGAGAGGTGCTGGAGCAAGAAAATAAACATGTGGCTGCTGAATTGTTTTGTGCTCCAACAACACTGTTCACAACACATTGAACAGCTGGGAGTTCCCCAGACAGAATGTACACTTTCACACAGTGTGACAAATGTATAATACACATAATATTTTTAATAAAACATATGTATAATGAAATATATCCATATACTTTGTGTTGTGTTGTACACATATATATGAGCACCTCAACATGATAGTCTGCTTTACATCCATCCATCATCCATTGTGTTGACCACTTATCCAACCAGGGTCATACTGAAGCTGGAGCCTTCCCAGCTGACACTGGGTGAAAGGCGGGGACAAGTGATGGACAGGTTGCCACTCTTTCACAGGGATAACATGGAGAGACAGACAACTACTGGCTCCTGGACAGTGGTAGGAAGGGGTGACAGTGATGAGCACTAACAGTGTGCCACCCTTCTGTTTCCACAATTTTTTGTATTTTATGCAGCTTAGCATGCAAACTCATCTAATACGTATTTAATAGTCTTTGCCCACAATTATAGTTAATTATAATGTGATGTCATGGAAACACTAATAACTTAACTCAAAGTCCCTCAGTCAGGTATTAGAGCTTAGCTATAGTGCCAGATTGAGGACATCTTAGCCAGATTTCCACCCTCATGGTCCTACTGCCCTCAAACCTCTATAAACACCCACGTTGCTGTAATGTTTCTTTTGTGATAATGAGCTGCGCTTCAGGAACAGTTTCTTAAAACCACAGCAAAGTCTTACTACTGTAAAAGCGTTACATGAAGCTAATGCTGCCTTGATATAGACCATTTTAGACTGACTTTGAAGAGGGTTTAAAAGCCAAGGAGCCCCACTGTGACTGGGAAATTGGCTTTGCTCTAAGCCGGAGTGTGTGTGTGCTTGTGTTCCTGCACCTGTGTGCTGACCTCGCCAGCGCCTCCTGAAAGCTGCCCTCTAAAACGGCACAGCAAACACTCGGTTCCTACATACGTGCAGATGTTTATTAGGCTCCTGTCTTTCCATGATATTCAGTCACCGCTTTCTCTGCACTGTTTCAGGCTGTCACTTTAAAAAAAAAAAAACTTTTACTGCCTCTACTGCAATAATAAAAACGCCAACAAACACCTTTAGTTTTCACTAAAACCTGCCTTAAATGGTCTTCTTTTAGATGACAAACAGCAGATTTTGGTGTCCTTGTTTCCACTGAAATTTATTTTTGTGTCTATTGAGACACGACAGGGTTATACAGAAGATGTCATTTCAGGAGAAGAAATATTTTGATTAAAAAGTCTTCCATTCATTTTGCCTTTTTCTGCCTGTCAGGATCCTTGTAAAGATTTGTCCTAGACTTCCTTTGTTTTGGGTGATTTTTTTTGTTTGGTTTTTTGCTTCCTTTGTGATTTTGAAGGTTTTGCTCATTTTATGGGACTCCTGTGTTCCCTCTGTGTGTCTGCTTTACTCGGCTTTATTCTGAAGATTAGCTTCTTAAGAGACCTTCTGTGTTTTTACTTCCCTCCTTTTGTTTTTCCCATCCTCATTAGTGTCTGAGTGAGTTTTTGTGTACATGTGTTTTTCCTTCAGTCTTATGTCAGGCTGTCATTACTAACTTTTGTTGTTAAGCGTTCCCCGTTTTAATTTTCTCCAGCTGGCTCTCTGCATTTAGATGGCTTGTATCGTTTTTACTTTTACCACACCAAGTTTTTTCCACAATCAGGCAATCCTTTGCTGTC